CTTATGAGTATGGTCTCTAGTTGTGACCATTTAAATATAAAGGCCTCGAGTTTATCTTTCTTTACAGCTGAGTAATATTCCATTATATAAAAGCAGCTTTTATTTTGATAGCGGTTGTCTTTTGAATATTATTTTCAGGGAAAGTATGTAGTATCACGTACAAAGAAGGATTCATTTTCTAATGAAAGAAAAATAGATGGGAATCATTTAAAGATAGATATTTAAATGATGGAAAATAGTCTTTCTTGGAGGTGGAAAACCTACCTTCTGAAGTGTACTCACACACGCACACACACACACACACACACACAACCTGGGAGTACAGGGAACTAGTGGCACGGTGCTGGGGGCAAAGTAGATGTCATCTTTCTCATACTTGTCTTTCAGATGGAGTCCCACTGAGCTGGTGGGTTGGAAAAACCAATGAAACACACTCTTACTGGGGAAGCTCTCTGCCTGGTGCTCACAAATGTACCTGTGGATTAGAGGGGAACTGTACTGATTCTCAATATCGCTGCACCTGTGATGCTGAACAGAATGAATGGTGATTTCCCTGAGAAAAAATGTAGTTTTGATTCCTTAATCATGCATAGTTAACTAAATGTCAGATAAGCTGGTATAAAAGTGTAAAATACGTTCAAGCTAGTTAGAAATGTAAATTTGATGAAATATATTCAACTAATCTAAGGATTAGATTTCTCCACCAATGATTTACAATTTTACTGTGAATACCATATAATGTGAATTTTATTTTTCTTAAATTGGGAACTTAGTAAATTTCCCACTCCTAGAAATCAAGTACAAGTCTCTGGAGTTCTGTTTAAATAATCACTGTAGTACTCACACAGTACGGTAGACTCCCAGCAGTAATTCAAGAAGTCTATTCCTTCAAATCTTTGTCTTCAGTAGATTTGGAATATCATACTACATATTCTACCATTCTTTAAGAATTCACCAATAGGGGCTGGGGATTTAGCTCAGTGGCAAAGCGCCTGCCTGGCAAGCGCAAGGTCTTGAGTTCGGTTCCCGGTACCGGAGAAAAACCAAAAAAAAAAAAAAAAAGAATTCACCAATAAACATCAACACACTGGAACTCTGAGAGAGCCTACTAAAAGGACTGTGTTTATTCTATGTAATCCATGCCATTGAAGTTTTATTTTATAACACTTTTAGACTTCTTATTGCCTTGGGGAATGTCAGTTGAAGGATACAAGTGGTCTTTCTACCTGCTGAGGGAGGAGACAAGAAAGCTGAGCAGTCCTGGTGCTCTGACCACGTTTTCTGTGTGTACTCCTTTCACTAGAGCAACATACAGCCCTTGCATGACCCATCCCTTTACTTTTGTTTGGCAGAAAACTTAGAGGGGAGCATTGTAGTCACACCCTAATTTCAGACAAGAGACTGTGGAATTATTTGTTTTTTAAACATCTTTACTTTGAAGCTTCCAGTGGACAGATCTTAGTCAATACTGAGAAGGCAACTGTTCTCAACATTTGTCTCAGCTCTTCCAGAATATTTTGTAAGTGAAGATGTGCATAAAAAAGGTGGTAGAGAATTTTAATTTCTCTTATTTTTTCAAATGAAATTGATTTCGATCAGTGTGTAACGATGAAAGTTACCAATATTACATAAAGATTTTCTAACATTATAAAATGCAAAATCTATAATTATATAGCATTGATTGAGGTATAGAAATAAAACAATTAGTGAAGCTGATAATATTTTAATTCTTTAACAAGCTTGATAGTGCAGCCATACACCTATATAGTGTATGTCATTCTCAAACATGCGTAGAGCACTTTGCAGATAAATGAAATCTTACAAGCTTTAAAAATTGTCATGATGGAGACTATGACATTAATTACAATTTAAGTTATAAGTCAGCAACAAATGTGTAATTTTTATAAGCTAATAAATATGCCAATTAAAGACAAAAAACTGAAATGAGACAAATGATCAAAAGTTTGGGAAAGGGGCTGGGGATTTAGCTCAATGGCACAGCACCTGCCTGGCAAGCACAAAGTCGTGAGTTCGATTCCTGGTACCAGAACAAAAATAAAAAACAACAACAACAAAAAAAAATAAAAGTTTGAGAAAAAAGAAACAGTGGGAAGGTGTTGGCGGTAGATAGCATAATTCCGTAACATAGAAAACTGAAGACAATATTAAAAAATACTGTCAAGATAAATGAGAGTTCAGTAATTTTTCTAAATTAAAATTGATAGCCAAGTAATTGAGAAATTACTTGAATGTCTACAAAATTATAATTATTACTATAAAACCTAGTTTAAATATTTACCATGTAAAACTCTAGAGGATAGTTGTAATGCTTCTAATGCTTTTTTGCGGTCGGGGGGACAGGATCTTGCTATGTAGCTCAGATTGAACTTGAACTCACTATGTAACTGAAGCTGGCCTTGAACTTGTGGCAGTCCTCCTGCCTCAGCCTCCTGAGTGCTGGGATTGCAGATGTGCATCACCACCCCTGGCTATATTAGCTATAGTACCTTTATGGAAATTATAAAACTTTATTTTAAAAATTGGATCAACCAAGTCAATCAATTGATCCATTATTGTCAAGGATATTGTAGCTCAAAATCTTAGAGCAGCACTTCTCAGTTAAGGGTGCTTTTGACCCAGAGGGGATATTTGAAATTATTTGAAGATAATTTTGTCCCAAAGGGAGGGAGCTGTTTCTACTGTTATCTTATGTCAGAATTACTGCAAAATACCCTGCAATATACAAGTTGCTTCTTTTTTATAGGATAGAAATATTAAATAATGTAGCCATTTTATTTTAATTCCAGCTTTTCAAATTTCAATTGTTGATTTCTAACTCCTCTTATAAAAATTCAGAAAACATTATTTTTACATTATTTTTGCAGTAATTAAGTGTTTGTCATTCTCGTCTTCTGCCACAATGATACAAAGGGGAGTGTGGAAACTAAGTAATTCAAACAAATAAAACATTATTAAATTCAGTAAAAATTCTGTCAGAATGAGGAAGCAGACTGAGTGATTTTGTACAAGTTAGAATACATATGCAACCAAGTCACAAATAATAGAATATTAGAAAATCACCAAAGAGTAGACAAATGCCTATATTTTGGCCAGGGAGGAAATTAGTGGCCCAGCTAGGACCAGGATCCCAGGGCATCCCAGCTTCTCCAGACCTCTTTGTATAGGACCCAGAGATACATATTGCCTTTCCCAGTCTCTCACACATGGGATCATAATGACAATTATTGTAATGAAGATGACAGCAATTAAAATTCATACTGCCTAATGCATCACGTACTTTTCAGGACAAGAGACTATACTTTTTCTGCAGTGTCTTCCATATCTAGCACAGTGCCTGGTCAATAGTATGTTTGTCCACTAAATAACTGGGTTCACAATTTCACAGAGCACTTCCACACACATTCATCTGGGTATTACTTAAAATTATTCTATTTCTTTTGTTTTTGTGTTTTTGGGTCTTATAATCTATAAATTATCAAGAAAAGAAGTACTCAATGACCATAAAATGACTAAGAAATTAAAGATACAACTGTGTGAAATGAATATCTAAATATAGTGTTATTATTTACATTTATAATTAATAATTATTTAAATAGCATTTGAGACTAATTTTGGAAGATCAAATAAATGTGTCATTATTTTGAAAATATTTTCCTGACTGGAAAATGACCACCCTTCTTGATTTTGCCCCTTTGTTCTCTGTGTTCAGTGAGATTGGGGATTGACAAATGAATCAGGAATTGCTAAATGACTGCACCGTGTGTTAAGTCCATCCACTGGCCTGCTCTGGTATGGCCTGGGAGCTAAGAATTCTTTTCACATTTTTAAGCAGTTAAAAAATAGAATGAGTAATGTTTTGTGACACATAAAACTTGCATAAAGTCCAAATTTCTGTGTCCATAAATTTCTATTGCAACACAGGCATGCCCACAGCTAACACTTGGGGCTGTTCTCACACTGCCATGGCCGAGTTGCATAGTTGATACAGAGGATACATGGCCTGAAAAGCCACTTTGACTGTGTGTGGCCCTTTATAGGAAAAGTTTACTGGTCCTTGATTTAGACCTTTTAATACTGTAATCTCTGTGCTCTTAACATACTGAAAATATTTGTAAGTGTTCTCTTAGTCCTGTATTATTAGTTTCAAACGCAAGAAGAGATCACAGTTAATTGTGTCTGAACATTAATTAGAACAATTTTAAGGGTTGGGCTGTTGTTTTTCAGGAACAGTGATACAATAGTCCTTTCCCATAAGGAGCACCTGCCGGTGCCTCAGATTGTGATGACAGATGCAAGTCGACCTCATTCTGCAGCTGCTCATCTACTGGGGCCTCTCCTCTGCCATGGGGACAGTAAGTAGTGACAAGAAAAGCTTTCTTTTTATAATAGTATGCTTTATTAGAAAAGCATTGAGTTTGCTTTAAGTCACTGTGACCAACTGAGGTAAACAGCTTCAAAGGAAGAAATGTTCATTTTTGGCTCATGGTTTCAGAGGTCTCAGTTCATGATCGGTTGGCTCTATTGTTTTAGACCTGAGGCAAGGCAGAACATCCTGATGGGGAGTGCATGATGGAGCAGAGATGCTCACCTTATGACATCTGGGAAGTAAGGAGAAAGAGAAGAGGGATAAGGATCCTAATATCCTCTTCAAGAATCCATCCCCAGTGACCTCCCTTTCCTCCACTGGGCCCTACTGCCTAAAGATTCTGCCATCTTCCAGTAGTACCAAAGCCTGTAGCATATGGGCTTCTGGGGGACATAAGTTCCAAACTATAACAAGCATCGATGTAAAAGCATTGTTTGTGCTGAAGATCAATATTTTGTTAGTGAAGTACAGTTTAAATGTCTAGTATGGAAAATGTTGGGAACCAGGAGAGTTTTGGGCTTTGACAAATTTTGGATTTTAGAATATTTGTATATACATGTTGAAATATGTATATACATGTTTAGACCTGTGGCAAGGTAGAACATCCTGATGGGGAGTGCATGATGGAGAAAAGACGCTCATCTTTTGACATCTGGGAGTAAGAAGAGAGAGAAGAGGGATAAGGATCCCTCTTCTGGATCTAAGAGATGGGATCTAAGTCTAAGCATCAAACTCATTCATTATTCTTGTACACCTTATACCTATGGCCTGCAGATAATTTTATATGGAACTTTTCATGTACCTGTATTTTGACTGTGATCTGTCACATGGGGTCAGGGACTTGTCAAAAGAACTTGAGAAAGTCCCCAGTGACCACACTTGGGACAGCTAAAGCACTACAACAAGTTATAGCAGCAGAATATAAACCGTTAGAGAAAGAATCTAAGAGTGATATTGATATAAATTTTAAAATAAACAAAAGAATTGAAGGTCAAAGGAAAAGCTCTTTCTAACAGAGTAATGTCAGCCCATTAAGGAAGAGGAATGATGAATTTTAGAAAATAACCATTGACAGCCGTCATATTAATAACTTTGGAAGCATCAGTAAATTTTAAACTCAGTGGATGAAAAAGTGGGTTGGGTTATGTTAAGGCCTTTAGGTATCAAAATATTATAAATTACAAAGAAAAAATAGTAACTTCATCTGGGACAAATGACAGATATGTCTTTACAAGGCAAAGCTACCATGACAGAGCATGGTGTGCTAGCACATGCCTATGGGATGGCAAGTTTGTGCTCAGCCCGAGTACTAGGGACTTAGCAGGACCCTGTCTCAAAATTTAAAGGGAAAATTAAAAAGGGAAAAGGGCTAGGGACATAGTTCAGATGAAGGCTCTGGGTTCAGTCCCTAGTAGTACATAGTAGGGAAAAAACATAACAGATAAACAGACACAAATAACCGACCGGTCCTGATGTGATGCACTAAGAGGAAGATAGCCCCACTTCTGTGGTATTTTTGACAAAAATGCATAACATTATTGTAATGATGAATATCAGTCAAACAAAAGTTGAGGAACATTCTAAAAATCAACTGAAAAATATTACCAGAAAAAGAAAAAGTATGAAAGAAAAAGTCATAGTCTCGAAAGACATGCAAGTTCTGGAATGAAGGACGCTAGATAGAACTGAAAAATTAATGTGACATGAGGTCCTAGGTTAGATTCTGGAGCAAATGGCAAGAAAAAGGTTTTTGATGTGCTGTGAAGGGCATTTTAGGATCGTGTCTGTGTGTTTGTGTCTTCATTCTTAAGCAGACAAAAAGCAAGAGTCTATGATCTGGCTGCCAGAGTCACATAGCCACCTGCTGTCTCCAAATCTCCACTTGCACGTCCAATAGATATTTCAAATTTAATGTATCCCAAACTGTCAAACTTGCATCTTCAAAATGATTCCCATCAGAGTTGGGCCCAAGTCTTCGGTGTCAATTCAGACTCCACTCTTTCTCTAGGATTCCACATCCCATATCCTGTTCATCATCACATTCTCTTGGCCCTACTTTGAAAAGGACTCTGGATCACCACCCTGTCTCCCCATCTCCATTGCCGTCAAGCTAGCTCAAGCCAGTATCAGTCATCCCTCTCCCTCAGTGGTGGTGTGATATTTGGACACATGTTGGCTTTATTTCTCAGTCTGTTCAGGACACAGACTTTTTCAAAAGATTTTATTAGTACATATTTGCAGTTCATACATCTCGGGGAGTGGTTACATGCACATACCATTGCTCGTTTCTTTTTTAATCCACTTCCCCTTCCCTCTTTCTCCCTCCCTCTTCCAATTCTCCTATCTCAGTTTTCATTCTTGTTGATATTATTAATCTTAAAACTCATGTTATGGCATATAATGTTTACATAAATTGAGGTTATTAGATTCCTGTACATGGTGTATCTTTATTCTACTTATTTCCCCTTCCCCTCCTCCTCACTCCTATTTTTTGTCTTTGAACACTTCTCTACTGCAAGAGATCCATCTCCCAGTCCCCTTCTACCTATCCTTACTATTCTGTTTGTTTGTACCTTGCCTCACTCAAGTGAGCAATACCATACAGTATTTAAGCTTGTGTGTCTGGTTTATTTCACTCAACGTTATATTTTCCAAGTGCATCCATTTTCCTACAGATGTCTCACATCTGTCATTCTTTATAGCTGAAAATAACCACCATTCAGATGTTGATATTATGGCTAAATGTCATGAATGTTCAGAATGCTAAGTGAAGGCTTACATAGTTATTATTGTTTAGTGTAAAAATGATTCCTGAGGGTTTTTTCCTTTTTTAAAAACCAGAGTCCTTTTGGAATTCTGCTTCCTTCAACACTGAGACTTCATACCTGCATTTCCCTACTTTCCATGAAGAGCTCACTGCTGATGTGAGTTTCTTTTTTAAGACAACAGTCTCCTCTGGTGTGTTTATGGAGAACCTGGGGATCACAGACTTCATCAGGATAGAGCTGCATGGTAAGGTGCTCACGCTGGAGGAGTCACAGGATGCCCACTATTTATTTAGCAATGGAAACTTGAACTGAGCAAAATGTGACAGTATTGTCATTCTTCTAATTGTATTTTCTTACCCAGCACTAAAACTCCATTACTTTAGTCACTTGTTCTTAATAGAGTCAAACCATTGGGCATACAGCCCACAATAATCCACAAAAATGTTATGCCTTCTCTTAACTCTAACTGAGTACAAACAGAACTTTAAGCCAAACTCGTGGATTGTCTACTAATAACAAAATATTTGACTAGTCAGCTTTCTTTCATATACCGAAAACTTATTACTGTCAAAATTTAGTGCTTTTAGAATTAAATGAGGTTTTGAACCATTTAAAATAAAAGTACTTACATATAAAACCAACTATATTTGCTCTGTTCTAGTTATGGGAACATATTTTATTACTACCAAAATTTACAGTTAGTGAGTTTAGAATTAGTTGAAGCTTTGAACCATTTTTAAGTAAAAATACATATAATTCTATTTGTTCTATTCTTTTATGGGTATGTATTTTTACTATTTAGGACTGAGGAAGATTGAGATAGGACTTAGCAAGACTGAGTAGTAAAGTCTGGAGATAAATATGTGAGAATCATTTTTGTTTTTTCTCCAAAAAACAAATTTATTTTTACTTCCCCTTCCCCTACGGAATCACGTTTCTCTGCACCAGTGTGACTGTCTCCATCATGAGCACGTCGCGCTGTTTCACTGTGTCTGCTTCAGACTAAACTTTCTCTTCTGTGAATTAATTTAGGTGATATTTATCTGTAATATTCATAGCTCCCTCAGAAGTGACCCTTTCGTTTGATGTGGGGAACGGACCTTGTGAGGTCTCGGTCCAGTCACCCACTCCCTTTAATGATGGTCGGTGGCACCACGTAAAGGCAGAAAGGAATGTGAAAGGAGCATCTCTTCAGGTGGATCAGCTCCCTCAACAGATGCGACCTGCCCCAGCCGACGGGCGCATCCGCTTGCAGCTCAACAGCCAGCTCTTCATTGGTGAGTGCGGCAGGTTTTTCAATGACCTTAGCGTGACTTCAAAGATGAACCGTGGGAAACCCTATGAAAGTACCATACTTTCAGTAACACTTGCAAACAGCGACTCCTACTGGCACTATTTATTTATAACCTAGTAAGTTCCAGGAGTTTCTTATTGAGTGTATTAATTTTGTAAATATTGTCCTGTTTAAAGATGAGGTAACTGAGCTTCAGAGAGATGGAGTATCCACCACTAGACCCAGGCTTGAACAGTTCATATAGTAAGTGGTTGGTATTTGTTACTACCACATGCTGTGGACACTATCAATGTAATTAGTAACTATTCTCCATTTCTACATCTCACTTCTTAGTGGAGTTAGAGAATTTGTCTTCTACTTGAGACAGTGTCTGATCAAAAACAGACCATAGTAGACCTGGCTAGAAGAAGCAACACAGTCCCTCCCTGAGACACTTTCAGGACTTCATTCCTGGCCGCCTCCGTCTGATCTCCCCTCCTCCTGCTCTCTCATCACGGGCTTCTTGGTGATAACTGGGTCCTGCACCTTACTCTTATAGTCCATTTGTCTGAAGTTTACAGCCCTGGGTACTGGAAGTCTTTCCTTTCCTTTGCTTGTTTATTGTTTTACCCTTGTTGCTTATTTTTCCCAAGAGGAAAGGTGTATTTTTACTAGATAATTTTTTAAAACATTCTAACTTAAAAACAAAACAGGTTAAAGTAACGACTTTCATCTGTTTATGCATTTTAAAGGAAATAGGTGAACAGTCCAATTAACTCAATGGACTACATAAAAAATATCACACAGCCTACTCTACAAAAGGACATATATACAACTTCCTGGTACTAAATATGACACAATGAATTCAAGTGTGTGTTGTTTCTGTGTGTGTGTGTGTGTGTGTGTGTGTGTGTGTGTGTGTGTATGTTTACTCATGCAGAGGGTGGAGTATATAACATAACTCCATAAAATATACTTTCAAGCCTGATTAGTTCTATGTTAGGGTAAGATGAAGCCTCCTTAGAGAACTTGAAACCATAAAACCACATAACAGGAGGAACCCACAGATGAGTTGTGCTAATCAACTTTCCACCACTTTAACAAATATCTGAGTTAACTAACTTATAGGATAAAAGGTTTCTTTTGGCTCAGAGTTTTGGAGGCTTCAGTATACTGTCAGGCAGAGACACATGGTTTCAGGTCTCTGCTGGAGACAGGAGAAACACATCATGGTGGGAGTAAGAGGCAGAGAAAACTGCTTCTCTCATGGCCAAAAAGTGAAAGAGAAAGGAACCAGAGTCTCCACTGCTTTGAGAGCGGACTTCCCAGTGAGCCCTATTTCTTAAAGTCTCCAGCATCTCCCAAGGATACCCAGCTGGGAACCAAGACTTCCACACCTGGGCCTTTAAGGAACAAACTTTAGCATGAGTCAATTTAGGGAACATTATTTTCTCACTTATACCCTGAGTATTTTTTGATAGAAAGCCCAGGAAAAAAATTCAGCTGGAATAAGCATTCATATTAAGGCAAAGTTTCTCAAACTGGTGGGGGAGTTCATTGTCTTCAGAGTTATCCATGAAGCTGGTTATAAATTCAAACTTGGGACTCCCAAGGTCACTGAATCAAAATTTCTTGGAGGGGCTCAAGCATTCGCATTTTTCGTAGTTTTTTAATGTGCTCCTACCATAGTAACAGCAATGGCCTTTGTGATAGTGTTTACCCTGGCACAAGTGCTTAAGCTTCTCTGATAGTTTCTTGGAGTTTGACATAACAACCACACATGCATGTATCATGTAGTTAATGTGTCCTCAGAGGGGAGTGGGTGTGTAAGGACACCTTGGAGAAGCTGGGATGGGTTCACTCCTTCCAGCTGCATTTTCTTTGCTTCTCAACTTCTTCTGCTTGGAGAACTCATTCAAGCACAAGATTTCACTGTGTATATCTTCTTACTGTTGTAAACATTTTCAGACTTCTCACATAACCATTCTAATGTATAGCATTGTTCATAAACATAACTAAAACAATGCTGATGATTTATGTTTTGCAACATTAAAGAAATATTTTTAGAATAAATATTTGCCAATCTCAGTATACTTAACAGTTGTTTGATATTTTTGTCAATGTCATTTAAGGCTTCAATGTCTGATAAAAGTTTGTATTTTCAAAATTTTGTATGTTCACAATATTATTTGACAAGTTGCATTTGTTTTTTCTACTCTCCATAAGGCCTGATTTTGATTGGACATAAAATCCTGAGCAAAATACCAAGGAACCCACTTCTATTTGCAGTATTTCCATTGTAGGGGGGACAGCCAGCAGGCAGAGAGGCTTTGTGGGGTGCATTAGATCCCTGCAATTGAACGGGATGTTCCTGGACCTGGAAGCAAGAGCCACCATGACTCCAGGAGTAGAGCCTGGGTGTGAAGGACACTGCAGCAGCTATGGACATCTGTGTCACAACGGAGGGAGATGTAGAGAAAAACACAGAGGGATCACTTGTGACTGTGCCTTTTCTGCATATGATGGACCATTCTGCTCACAAGGTAAGTGTGACCATGAAATGGATTATAAAGAAAGCATGGGACACTTAGAGACTAAGAGGAACACTTCTGGCGTTTGATATTACAAAGTCAGGGGGCTGGGGATTTAGCTCAGCGGCTAAAAGCGCCTGCCTGGCAAGCGCAAGGTTGTGAGTTCAGTTCCCGGTACCGGAGAAAAAACAAAAACAACAACAACAAAAAAACCAAAAAATACAAAGTCAGGATAGGATTGCGCAGTTATCTGAAGTGGAATTATTTGTGACACAAATTCTATGACTAACTTTGAAATCCTAGGGTTTTTCAATAGAGTATCAGTCCTCCCTGGATTTCTTACTTGGAAGATCTCCATGTTCCTCCTAATTTTCTGTTCAGTACTAATGTTCTCAACATAATTTGGTTACTCTGTCCTTGGCCAGTTCTGTCCTTAAAATAATTAAAATATCGTTGGTATTTATGGCAAAGGTTGGAGATGCTTGAATGAAGTAATATTTTTCGAATTGCCTTTTCATATAGAACAAGTATATTAACTAGTACGAAAAATGTGGACTTGAGTATGGCATGTTGTTAGTAGGACCACTCAAATACTTTGCTCTGAGATGTTTGTCCATTTGTTCATAGGGGAATATAGTAGGGCATCACACAGCTTCTGCTCAGGTACAAGCTATATTTTGAAAAGGAGGAAGGAACTATTTGAGTGTTAAGTACATTTTACTGGCTTCCTGAATACACTTGGTAGTATTTTTCTGGGACCTCTTAGAATAGTGTTATTAAAGTTAAATTTAAGAGTTTTAAAAATATGTCAGGGATATCATATATATGTTTATCAATACAATAGGTTTTAATTACTACAAAAGTTGTGAGACTGTGAAAGGAATTTTGAGAATTAGTTATCTACAAGCCATTAATAATTCCAAAAAAGCACCTTTAAAGAACTTCTCTTAGCCAACTTTCATTCCTAATTCACAAAGGGTTTCCTTCCCCCACCCCTTCTTAGCCAAAATCAGGGAGGCAGAATCTGTGTGGAACAACTGTCTGTTAGTCCCCTTTTGAGACCCCTTCTCTGTCACCCCTCACCTTTATTGTTCTTTCTTTTCAGTTCTTTATGAACTTTATATGACCATAATTTATGAAAGCCTGTTTGTCTAGCAATTATCTATTATCTGAATACCTTATCTTTGAGTTTAAGGATTCTTCCTATGTGAGTCATTTTCTGACCTTCATGTCCACTGTGTGACCAGTTACCTGAGGGTAAGCTATTGGCTTGCCAGTAAGTTTCTTCTAAAGCTGCTAAAGTTAAAATGAAACATGAGCTATCTCTCTTCTTATTTCTTAATCAATGTGTCAAAGAAAAAATCAAAGGGAAAATTAGAAACTGCTTGAGATAAATGAAAAAAAAAAAAAACCCTCACAAATACCATAGTATATGATACAGGCAAAGCAGTTTGTAGAGGGGGAAATTCATATATATA